CCCCCCCCCACACCCCCCACCCACCCCCACCCCCATACCCACACCCCCCCCCCCCCCCACCCCCACACCCCACACCCACACCCACACCCACACCCTTAGGTACAATCAGAATTCATAAAATTGTGTCTGTGGGAATCGGTGTATCAGACTATTTTCATTGTACTCAACTTATGTGGATCATTGAAGAGTGAAAAGTAAAATACAAATATACAGGATGCTAGAGAGTTTCAAGTGCTTTTAGAGTTTGGTATTAGTTTTTTGAAAATATGCTACTACAGTAACAATGTACCCAAAATATAGTATCTAACTTTTGCTTTCTATGAGTATATATATACATGTGTGTGTTGCTGCATCTACAGAGTACATGCACAAGCACGCACATTAACGCTTGCATATGTGTAGAGAGACAAGGGATGTGGTTAAGAGAGAAGACAATAGAAAGAAAAAAAAGAACAACAACGATTGTTGTGTGTAAATGTATTTTCAAAAAAAGTCTGCCGCGAATTATAGTATACCCAATTTTGAAAATTTGTACTCAATACTTAGTTTTTTACGCTCTATCTAATGATGTGTTTTATATCGATTTTGCACAAGATCCAAAATTTCAAGTCAGCTGCTATGTTTTGATTATGCTTTGATACTGAGTTTCTTTTTCAGGCTTCTATTCGATCATGATAATTTTTTCTGCGCTAAAGTCTTTTTGCTTAGAGAGGATAATAATAAAAATCTAAGATCATTTACGACAAATATTTTTAAAAACTATTTATTTATATCTTGATAATTATCACGATGCTCATCTTCATCATCCCTTATCTTCTCTTCCCTTAATGATGTAAACCATTATGTGACGAATAATAACCATTTGTTCGACTTGTCTCTCGTGCTTCTCTCTCTCGCTTTTCTCTCTTCTCTTTCTTTCTTAGCATTATTCATCTTTCCTTTAAACATCGTTAAAAAAAAGAGAAAAATCACATTAATAATTACTGTGTTACAAACAAGAAAAAACTCATAGATCGAATTCAAAAGTAACAGCATGGATAAACAACAAAATATACTACAAAATTTAATGAATTTACCTAAATTTGAACCCATGACACCGAAAAAAACGTACTATATAAATCGCACAACAACATATGATACAATATTGAAATTGATTCGTCTTGCAAGTAAAGCAAAACAGTTTATTATACAAACAAAGTATTGTCATGCGAATAAACATCCAGCACTAATTACAATCTTATTTGCGAATGAATTCCAACTACATATTCTTTTAATTGAAACTATATATTTAACAAAGGCTGATTCCATTTTACATAATAAAATACAACAATTATTTTTTATTATCTTATCACCATCGAATGTTGTTCACTCATGGACTGATATAAAAGAGGAACTTCAATCCTTCCTAAACTCTTTTTTATTTACGTTCCATCAAATTCAAAATATTCGTGTAACTAACATTAAAGATAAATTTCAACATTGGTTTCAAAACACCTTTGTTAATATTGAACTAAATAACATTTCATTGAATGATTCAACATTAGAGATGGCAATCGCTTTTATGTTTCAACAATATCTAGATACAACTCTTTCAAAAAGTAGTGATTGGAATATAGGACTCTTTTTAGAACTTTACCCAGATCATCACGAAGGACTATTTCATAGAGGTGCATATGTTTGTAGTTTACCGAAACCAAATCGATATCGAGCTCTACATATTGAATATGCTATTCATGAATGTATGGCTGTCAACAGAATAGTTAGAATTTTCCAAAATTCTTGGACACGGACACACGCTGAAAACTATTTAAAAAATTATTATAACATTCATCACTGAATAGCAAACTTCCATCTTCAATAGGTCGTATCAACTAACTATTTTTTTTTCTTTCGAATATTTAAAATTATTGGATTTTCATATGTTAAAAAGCAATTGTGTTTTAATTTCATTGTATATGTTGTGAACTATTTTGAAATGCACCATGTCCGTCATTAACTCGTTGATCGCGATCAAGTGTTAAAACACACACAGACTACTACTTTTGTGTTAATGAAGATAATATCTATCCTTTTAACTATCTTTCTTATTCGTCTTCCTAGCGATGCTAGGAAAATGATTAGAAAAAGTAGATGACAGAAACTAGACTCATCTTTTGTCAATATGTATATAGTTGCATATATTCATCATTTTCATGAGTCTGTTAAAACATGATGTCAGTAAACATTAGCAATAAAAAATTCTCATTTGAATACGTAATTATTTTCATAGTGTAGCATAAGAAATATGAAACTCAAGAGGAACACATAAGAGTAGCTTTCTAAATAATCAATTTAACCGCAAAAAAACATGTATCAATATTTATATAATAAATTTATATAACATGTATTTTTTACATATATAATAAAAGACAATCATTACAAAATTGTATTTAATGTAACAAAGATATGATAAAATATTAATCATTGATTTATCTATTTTTAATTTTTTACATTTTTATGTTTAATGTGCTCACATTTCTTTAGCTATAAAGACAATGAACAGTCAAATTATAGGAGATGAAAGTCAAATAGAAAAAATATATAAAAATAATAACAATAAAATAATAAACGAAAAAATTTTAAAAAAAGTTGTTAGTGTACTCAAAAAGGGAGTACACTACTAAAATCGGTCTGTGTGTCCGGCCGTCCGTCCGTCCGTATACACGATAACTTTCGAAAGGGGAGTCAGATCTTGATGAAATTTTCTACACAGTTCAGTCTTGAAAATATCTCGGTCAAGTTCGAAGATGAGAAGGATCCATCAAGAAATGACTGAGTTATCGAAAAAATTGTGATTTTTGACCAGACCATCCCTGAGAGGGGGTACA